TAAATTCAATTTCCTCTCACTTTATACATTACCCATAATAATTACATTTCAAGTGAAAATAGCACAATCAGATCTTAATACGGGATCTAAAACTGAGCAATTTCAAATGGAAAATCTGAATTAAAAAATCTGAGTGTAGATGCCTTCTGATAAGTGAACATTCACCCGCCTCACTTACAGGAACCATACTCCAAAAACAGATCAGATTGTAAGGAGTTCCAATGAGTAAGCATTGATGTGCTTTCTGATCCCTTAATGAAGTAATCCCATTTGAAATCATCACACCTTGGACCTCTATATAGGTACAACAAAAATACTAAACTTTTTTTTTTAAAAAAGGAAATCAAAACAGAATCAGATACAGAAAATTACCATGTTAAATAAATTTAAAATTTCATTCAGAGGAGAAAACCAAATGTATTGCAAAATCAGTTTCAAACTATAATTTTACATACAATTAACAGGGGAACCAACAAAAATAATTCAGGCTTCTCAACATACCAAAAAGCATAAACAAATCTAGATTTATTTTGAAAGATGGAATCAATGACATTTTTAAAAAATTATGTTTTCGGAGTAACAAGTGGTAGTTAAGAGTTTCATTTCGTGCTAAACTTAGTTCTGTTTTCATTGGAAACAAAAAGAAAAGCATAGAAAGAGAACAGAACCCAATATAAAAAGCAACTATTGCAAACTACATCAACACAATGGTTGCAATTTCACAGATACCATATCTATGCAACACTTTACATAACGGACGCATTGGGCCAAGATAAATGCAAAACCACTATTCTAATTCAGCTGTTTATGCAAGGAAACAAATTGAACCTACATGTGGCAGATAGAATTGCAATATTTGTCTGACGTTCAGATGAATGAGCATGATTGAAATGAAGCCACTGATAGCTATCACAATTTTAAGTGACCAGGTTAGAATTTTACAATAATTTATGAAAGTACATTCATTTCCACCGTTGACAGTTAGCGCAACCTCTAAAATGGTTGTCAAAACTTTAACACTGTTATCAGATTAGGCTGTATCAAATTCAATATAAATTTAAGAAAAAACTACAATACCAACTTTATTCACCCCCAAAAGAAGCAGAACTGTGAGTCTATCAAAAATCAACTTTTTAGATTAAAAATCAATTATAATGCAACAAATTTTAAACAAAAGATAAACCTGGTCACTTAGCACAAAGTGAGGAAACACACTGAAAGCTAAGAAAAGCAATCACATTGGATCTCACAGGGAATCTTGTATAAGTATAGTATAATACTGTTAACATTCACTAACGTACAACCTTATGTTTGCTGTCACATTTTTGAAGGAGACGGCCTTAAATTCCATTTTGAATTGTCAGTTCTGACTGCTGGACTGACAATTGACATTATAAACTATTCAGTCAAACTGTTAATGGAGCAACAATGGATCACCTATTTATGGCACACAAATTTAAGCCTGCTATTCATTTATGGAGCTTTTAACTTGTCTTCAAAGAACATCTACTAATGTAATTTATACAAACTCCATCATGTGGCAATTGTGTGAATAGGGCCTCACATTTATTGTGATGCACGACTGGTGAATATTTCAGACTTCATTTATGAATAGACAAAAAGCCCTGGTGCATGAGACATATCTAAAACTGGTTGCAAGTTAACCTCAAGGGGACTTGTTTGTGGCCGGGGGGGTGGGGTGGGGGGGGTAAATGAAAGGAGAGAACATAATAGCCTAACGTCCTTAAGTACAAGCCAACATATTTTCCTTGAAATAAAACTAAAGATAAAGCAGAAGAAAAACTATTAGCCAACAGCTGTTGGTTTTTTTTCCATTGTCTTATTCCACAAGTCACTGTGTTCTCCTCCAGCCAGGACACAGACTTCCCAATAACTGCAGTTCCATGTTCAAGCCAGTAGGAGAGATGATACAGTTGCAGAGAACTTAAAATGAAATGCTTCTGTGAGGCACTCCAACAAACAGAACAACTCAACTGATTGAAATGATCCAATCAAAGAAGAAAGCCGAGGTCAAATTTACAATCTGGTTGGGAGGCAGTTAATCAAGCACTTCTGGTACTTGACTGGGGAACCAATAACAGTCATTCAAAATAATATTTCCATTTGGGTGCAACTTGCAATTATTTTATCACATTCTGGGAAATGCAGAACATTGTAAATGAACAACAGTTTAAAGCACTGTTATGAAAGGTTTCATACAGATATCCATCTCTGAATTTCTGAATAATTGTACACTGAATAATTGCATACCTCATATGAAAGACCAATTTTGAAACCTTCATTTTTAACTTTTTAAGTGAAAGAACTTATGCAGCAATAATACATGGGAAATTATTAAATTAAATGCATCTATGTTTTGGTGGTTTCACAAAGAAATTGTTTACATGATTCTACAAGGGCAAATGACATATGATTCTATCAATCAAGATATTGTACAACCACATTTATGTGGGTAAATAATTTAGAGAAAATATACTCCATTTTGAAAGTCATTCCTTAGATTTGGAATTTTCTATCATGAAAAACATTTTACAGCTTACAATGAATCAATCCTATGAGCTGTGTTCATCAACTGTTTCAAAAAAACAGAATAAACTGATTTCTCGAACATCTACTAAAAACATTCACAATGTTGAATAGCAGACAAATATTTTTGAACTCATCATAGCAACAAAGACATTATCCACCAAAAATCAATATCCAACTCTAAAATTCAAGAAAAAAATAAGCCTTCTAACACCTGGATGGTTAAAATAGTAAAATGATTCACCTGCCCAAAGGAAACCATTAAGTTGTACATAGCATTCAGATAGTGATCATGACAGATGACATGATCTATACAAGACTGGTTCTGGATGCCAAAGATGAAGCTGAATATTTGGATTCTCCTTGTAACACCTGCAACCAGACTTCCTTTGTTTTCCCTGCATTACTCCAGAAGTATTAAAAATAGTGAAAAAGTAGAAGTCTGCTACAACTGATTTCGAGGCCTAGGAAACCACAATCTCATAAAATAATAGTGCAATTCAGAAAAATTGTAACTGGACAAAGATAAGCCAGTTAGTACTGAACAAAATGCAAATCAAGGCTCCCATTCCTTTTTATATATTAAAAATTAAAAAGCACCATATATCCTGTAAAAAATAAGGCAGATGACTGAAATGTTAAGAGATCCACTATTTCATACAATACATTACATCTTCTGGATGATCCTATTGATTCTTTCCTACTTTTCAGTCATAGATATGACAATACATTAACAATATAATGAAATAAATACTATGATGGTCAACATTTTTCATATCTTAAGATGCAAAATAATGACAATTATTTGTACTTTTGCTCATGTAGGTCTATCAAAATATAATCTGTACAAATTTTATAAATCATGTGCATAAGACAGAACTACATATTTAGGAAGTTTAAGTTAATACTTAATGTTTGTTCTGTAATGATCCCAAGGCAACTGTGCAAGAATACCCATTTAGAAATACTACAAAATATGTACATCAATTGGGTTAAAAACGTTAAACATTTGTCTATCAGCCTATTGCACCTTTACAATTTTACATTCAGAAATAATTCTTGAATTTCTATAAAATGGAAGCAGTAACAGGTACATTATACCTGAAAAAATAAGCCATTACTGAATGTTTCTTAGGGTGTAAAGATTCCCTTTAGCCCCAAATCACTGTATACAAAACCACAAGTTCTAATGGCGAATCGATGAGTCAGCACAGTCCCACTGCCAGGCCTCCGCAAATACTTTGCAACTTGTGGCTGGAGGTTTGTGCCAGCTGCATAGGGCGACACCTCTCAGTTCCCTATGGAGAACCCCGCCCTTTAATTCACAGCTTCTCTAATGTCTTTCCTAATATTACTTTCTTGCATTCACATATTGTACATATTGTTCCTATAAATTAAGTCACTTAATAGAAATAAAAGTTACAAATTTTAAATATTTGTAAAAAACCCACACCCCTGAATAAGAACCATTTATTCTTTTGTAACAAAGCTGCCAAGAGTCAAAAAGCTCACATACAGCAATAAAACGATTCTGTAATCTGCTCCACCACCCACCCACCCGACAATAAAAAAATCTTTATCTGAGGCATGGCATTCTGGCATCCCTTTTAGGACACATCTCCTGTTTAAGTGCAAATAGTTCATGTTGTACTAAAACACACATCAAAACACAGCTCAGCACCGAATGTTGTTACCCAGCTCTGAACTGCAACAAGATGTTACAAGTCAGAAAAACATTTTCAGAAAATGTTAGTCTTTTGTCAGTTATTTCTGAGATTATAAACCACAATACAAGGTAACTCCACTATTAAGTGCCTCTCTAAGAGTGCTAGTTTCCTTTTAATGTGGATCTTCTGTAAACCCGGGTTACTGAAAGTTCATTACACCTCAGATGAGGACCGGCTGGCTTCCTGCGCAGGAGCTCTGCTGATCCACGCCTGAAATGTTGAAATGATGACCTGGAAGCAGGATAGGCGTCCTTTTTTTTTGTAGACCCGTTATATGATGCAGAGTGCAATTCTTTGATATGAAGCAAAGTTACCTTACATTTCCGCCAAATCCCTTGTCAGAAAAGGTAACATAAAGCAAACAAAATTTAAATTTTAGGAAAGGACATAGGGAGGCACCATTCAAAGTTAAAATCTTTCAGAAGAATATTTTAATTCTTCTTTTTTTACAAAATAGCGACGTGTGAAATAGTGTTTAAATTAAATTATAATAAATTCAAATGCAACACAAATTAGACACTGACCTGCATTCTTTATGTTTCACATCAAAGCAATACTTACCGAAGCTCTCATTGTTATTTGACTAACACGCTTAAACAGCATCTGTGCAACCTTACTCGTGGTCCCAGTTGAGTCACTGTACAAAACTGAAGAATTCTCAAAATCTGTTTGCAGAAGTCAGAAAATTAAATATTTTACAAAATCTAAGTGAACTAAACAACCCACCTATTTTAACGATGACGATACTCTCGTTCTCTGTCCCTCTCTCGGTCTCGATCACGATCGCGATGCCTTTCCCGCTCTCTACTTCTTTCTCGGTAATAATCATCATGTCGATCACGACTCCGTGAGCGCTCTTTGTGACGTCTGCTTTTTTCTCGTGACCTGCTGTGGTCTCTCTCTCGTGAGCGTTCACGTTTTCTAAAAGACATAGTTACTGGTTCAGACGATTATTTTTTTTTATTTAGCAATACTAATTGATTTTGTAAGAGACTTCTCCAATTCCTCTAAATAATTTTTTGGGAAATTTGATCGTTACTCAGAGCTTTTGTTGCAGCAAAAAGACTGAACAATAAATCCCTGGAGTATCAGAAATAACCATAGCATTTTATAAGACAGTGCTCAAAAAATCAGTACACTACACTCTAGTTAGAAGTGCAAAGTTTCAGCTGCAATTGCTTACCTATTTGCATATGTACTAACATGAAGAGGGATTCCCTCTGGCATTTTAACAAGTGTACCAATGTAATGACCCAGATGGATTAATTTCAATATAACCAGACCAATATTTGATTTAAACTCAATAAGGTTAAATTTTAATCCATTTCATTCTTCAAGTGGAACATTGAATGGGATATTTCTGGTCATCAACTAATAGTTTCAAACACAAATTTAGGTAGACAGATGTCAAATTTTGCATAAAAATAAATCTTTCAAAATAAAGAAAATACACAATTGTATTTTGATCAATTCCAGCACTTTACCAAAATGACAATAGTTGAAGTTATTGGTTTACCTTGACCCAGAACCATACGATTTTGACTCTATTCCATGAAGACAATCCTGTAGGGAACTTATGAGAACTTTGCAACGATCATCAGCAGATACTTTTGACTGCTTAATCAAAGAAATAGCAGTAACCAGAGTCTCAATAGCACTTCCGTAATCACCTGCAATTCAAACAAAAAGTTATGAGATTCTGTTCATACAATTATAGTTCCAACATCTAGATCTTGTCTGCCAGCAGCATCTCAATGCCCCAGAACACCACTACAGCAGCAATGTGTCCATTTTTGTGACGTAAATTGCCCTAAATATAGTTGAGTCAGAGGACAAATTCTGTAAGGTTCCACTCCTGATTATTATCCAGTGACCACTACAAGAAAGCAGTTAATGGTCCTTGGGCAAGGATAGAGTGAGATTTGCCAGTCAGTCCTCTCCCCAACAAGTAAACACAGCAATTCACATGAAGAATAATTTATTTGATGAGGCACATGTGGAATCATATCTCACACAATTCAACACCTAGAAAACGTGAGGATGGAAAGGAGACAAAAAACGTAACGCTTTTAACTTACCTGCACTAGCATCGGACACGGCCCTTGATATTGCACTGCTAGAAATGGCTCTGTTTCGATTCATTATTTCTTCAAATTCTGCTTCACTCAGTGGAGTTCTTGAGGAATCCATATCTCTGTCACACAAACACAGATTTTCACAAACACACCTGGTATCTGTCAAGATTCATACGAATCATGTTGTTACCAAACTGAAATAATTTGCTGGCATCCAGCACTAATGCATGAAACGTGGGTTATATATAATTCTTATTTTAAAATGTTTGGACCTTGTGCATGTAACCTGAGCAGGCCGTAATTCATTCAATTATGTTGTTACATATTTCACTGTCATGGATATTAAATACTGTAGCTGGATCATTAATCAACAGAGTCAAGTCCTCAAGTGATGGATTTGTACCTGATAAAAGCATTCTAGCCCACTAAAAGGCAGATCCAATTAAACCCAATTAAAGCCTAAAAATAACCTAAAAAATTGGCCTTCAAAAGATATTGCTTCCTTTTCTGCAGGTAAATAAATCTACGTGCTTTAATTGAAATAAAAATCCATGCCAAGTGTGCGTACCTGCCAGCAGGCCCATAGTCCCCTCGGTCATATGGTGGAGGACGTCCATATGGATCTGATGGAGGGGGTCCACGACTGTCAGAGGAAGGAACAACACTATTGGCTGGTGGTGGGAAAAAGGCAGGATTGACATGAGGGGCTGGAGGTGGTGCCCCTGGAGGAGGACCAGGAAGATGTGGAGGAGGGGGGGCCAAGTTAATTGGAGGACCAATTGGACCTGGAGGACGTGGTGGGAAAGGGCCAGGTGGTGGAGGGGGACCTTGCTGAGGAGGAGGGGGGCCAGGAGGAGGACCATATCCTGGGACTGGAGGTGGAGGACCAGGAGGGAGAGGTCCTAAGGTGGTTGCCCAAACGGCTGCCCTGGAAACATAACTGGGGGTGGTGGGCGATCACCACGATTCGGTGGGCCGCCTAGTGGAGGAGGAAGGCCTTGACCGGGTGGAGGCGGCCCTGGAGGGCCTGGTGGGCCAGGAGGACCTAGAGGTGGCCGTGGTGGACCTTGCCCTGTTTAAAAAAAAGATTTTCACATGTTAGAGAAAAAAAAAGATTTTCACATGTTAGAGAAACTATGTCATTCAGCATAATTAAGCATCATTTTGACCAGTCAAATAATCTGTTAAGTTTTCAAGCAACCAGTCCTGTTTTCCATGACATTTGCAAATGTTATTTTGTAAACTTCTGATCCAAGGCATGTAAGAATAAAAAAGAACCCTAGCATATTTATTAACACCAAGTAATAACAATATTTTCTAAAACATTCGTTTCACCAAGAATTAAGGCGAAAGTTTCATTTGTTCCAATTACGTGTTGAATTTGACTATTTCCTGCCATTCTACAAACATGGTCAATTCTCTTAACTGGAATACATTTCTCTGAGGGTAACTGATCCTTCAAGTAAGGATTTATTATTCCACTTAAATCTAGCTTTGCAATTGTATTTCTTGTTCAATTATGTTACTTATAGTTAAGTGATTTAGAATTTTAAGTAAATTTATGCATCATAATTCACTACATTGATTCATAAATTATACTTACCAGAAAAAATGTGGTGAATCAAGCGCTCCGGGACGCTACCCCGCGTGAAGGGTGCTATATAAATGCAAGTTATTGTTGTTGAATCAGAAGTTTACAAAATAACTTTTGCAAATGTCACGGAAAACACGGAAAATAAAGCGCTCCGGGACGCTATCCCGCGTGAAGGGCGCTATATAAATGCAAGTTGTTGCGTTGATAAATTACACTTACCAGGAAAAGGTGGAGGCCCTCCCGGACCAGGAGGCCCTGGAAATCTGTCCCCACCAGGACCATTTGGTGGAAAACGGCCACGTCCCCTTCCACTTTGGGAAAATGCTAAGCGACTACTGGCTCCAGGAGGCCCAGCTTTGCCTTCCCCCGACATCTGCCCAGACTGAGTAGCTGCAAGACATAAAATACCCCAATCACTCCTATTAAACAATTTGCTTTTTAAAGGCAGTGCACACACTAAATTACTAAAACATCACTTTCACTACAAGTTAAAGGCTATACAGGGTAACAGGATCTATATAGTATATTTAGATAGGGAGAATCTTCAAAGTGCCAAGTGTCGGAGGGAGGTGACCAAGGACAGCCGAAGAGACAATTATCTGGACAGTTTTGAAAGCCCGGGTGGGGGGGGGGGGAGAAGAAGAGCTAAGGGGTGTCAGACTAAAGTAGATGAGCGTTCACCTGCCGATGATGAGGCAAAATAGTTACCTTGAAGAAGGCCAGAGTTGGCAGATTGGAGAAGACACGTTAATGAATTTTACCAAATGCTAAGAGGAGTGAGCTATTGTTCTGGGATGTCAACATGAAAGCCAGAGATTTCTTAAAAGAATCCTGCTTCAGTGAACAGTGAATTATGCAGAACAAAGGAAGAAATCTTAGCAATAACACGAGCAGAAGTTCTACAGATAGACAACAGTGAAAACCACTCGTAATATACTGTAGGCTGCTTACATCAAGTGCATGCAAGTATTGCAGTTCAAGGAAGTGATATTTAAGATTTCAAGGTAAATGCATTATGATTAAAACAATTACTATGTTCACATTATATATACACAGACATGCACATCGGTGACCAGGGGTGGCCACATGCCTCGGCTCTGGCCACCGCAACACAAAGGGGGCAGCCCACACCTTAGAGGCAGTATAGGAGAGAGAAATGAGGATGACCCCCCCCCCCAATGTTACAGGAATTAGCTATGAGCAACAGGGCTCTTTACTCTTGAGGGAAGACAAATCAGAGGGGACTTTATAGAGATGTATTACATGTTAATTGGGATTGAAAACTAAACCTAGAACAATACGTTAGAATGCACCAAGATAGTAAAATGAGAGGACATAGGTTTACAGTTGTAAAGGGCAATTTCAGGACAGACGCTAGGAAATGTTTCTTTACCATGAAGGCAACTAACAACTGGAGCAGTATGTCAGGAAGGGTGGCTAAGGCCATGACACTGGACTCATTTAAGAAAAACTGCTTCATGCTGTGATGGGAGGGCAAGTAGGGTGGGTGTGATCAGATTGGCCGAAGAACCTAATTTATCCAAAATAATCCTGTGATCTTGATCTGCCAAATAGCCCCTTTGCATACTGTTCTATGTAATTTTACAAAATAGTTACATTACATTTACAGTTTACATTAAATTTACACCCAGACAGTTCAGTGTTTAAATGTGCTTACATTTTCTAGACTGCATTTCAAACTGACTGAGGGATTGTTTGTTGCATGGCGTGACAATGGGATTCTGTCCATGCATATCTCGCTTGGGAAGCATATCCAGCAGCTTCTTAGAGGATGCTTCAGATCCCACGCAAATGAGTGCAAACCTAGAAAAGGCATCAAGTAGATATACTGGTCAACAAGCATCAAGACCCCATTATCACACTGCTAGCAAACATTTTTAACAGATAATGATATATAGCACAAGAAATTACTTTTGATTGGCAGTTACAATCATTCTTGTACTTAAATTATCAGTTATTTACATTTATAAAAATTAATGATAGTTTCCAGAGCTAGCCCAAAACTTATACAGCTCATACCACTCACCAGCAACCGACATCAATACAAATCCCAAGTTACTGCAAACTGTTAACTATTCCTCTCCCCTACACCAGAAGGTGCTGACCAACGTTGCGCGCAGATCCATAGACATCAAGCATCATTCAGGGCTTTACACATGTGGCGATTAATGTAAGAGTGTTAACAGCAAGTATCAGATGGCCATTTACTTGTGCGATATCGCAGACACCTGATAGCCACACACGTGCACTGTTTTTTTTAAAAACAGACGTAATAAAAAGTACAGAAGAGGGAAAGGAGAGATTTAAGAACTGATGTTCCCCAAAAGCACAAGGGAAACTTTGAGAAGGTTTTGAAGCGAGTTTCAGAAGTGGCATTGTGGCTGTAGACATGATAAAAAAATGACAATAGGAAATTATATTACAAGAACAAAGTAAAAATAGGACAGAGGAAAAAAAGTTAAAGAACGTGATATTTGTGTTTAAAATAGTTTATGTTGTTTGCAATCATTACAGTAACAAGCTGGACTCAACATCTCAGCAGCTTTATTGTAATTTTAGTGCTTTTTTAAAAAAATCTAGCCATTCCAGGGAGATTGATTTGCTTGGAGCTGCCAAGTGAAGTTAATACTACAGGTACAGGATCTTAATTTGTGTAATTGTGTATTTTGTCTAACCAGTAATAACAGAATGTTTGAATGTATTCCATGTGCTTACCCTTTTGACTGTCCATTTGCCCGGTTTTCAAAAAACTTAATCTCTAAAACATCACTTATTCCCATAGAATGAAGAGCTTCTGTCAAATCCTCATCGGTGGTCCACTGTAAGACATGAAAAACAAAATGTTTATTTGTAGACGAACATGGCTGCCAAGGATGTGAATAACTAATTAATTGAGGATTGCTGGTCAGGATACTGGGAAAAACTAGTTTTTATTCCCCAAAAAAGTGATTTGCATCCACCTGAAAAGGCAGGACATCGGTTTAACCTATCCTGTTTTATCCTGAAGACAGCACCTTCAATTATCTAGTACCCCCCCACTGAGTTCAATGCCCCGACATTGGACTCGAACACATAATATTCATTCGGACTCGAGCCTGACTTAGAGATGAGAGTCCTATCAACTGAGTCAGGAAAGTTCAAAGCAACTCAAATAAATTGTAATTATGATTTACAGACAAGAGATTTGACAATAATTTGTTCGATCTAGTGCCTTATGATAAAAGGACGGTAGATGCTATCTGAAGATGTCAAAGTGAGTATAACAGCCAGATTTTCACAACACTTTCAAATCTATTGTAAAATTTGTGGGAATTAACAATGTATGACTTCATTAGAATTTAACTTTCAAACAATTTTATTAATGAACTTAAAGAAAATTGATTTTTTAAAATCAAATCACGCAACATACTGTAAAATACATTAGCTCCTGCTAACCTATACTATCCAACTCTCAATCTGTAAGAGAACAATTGCAAGTCCAGCTGCTTACCCATGTCAGATTTCCAATATACAAAGCTATTCTCTTCCCAGTGTAGGTATAGACAATGTTTGGGCCCATAGAATTGGAAGACTTTCCACCATCATCTGTAACAGACTGTGGAAGGCTGTCCATATAATCACGATCTTCTGGTGCATCTCCATTATTGGCAGATGGTGATATAACATCATCATACAAATCTATCTGATCATGTCCACTGTATTCAGACTCCTAAAATAAAAGAAATAAGGCTTTTGATTATGCAAATAAAACAAAATTTTCCATGGCAACTTTTACCAATAGTCTTACAATAAACTTAAAAATGTTTTGAATGCAATGTTTCTAGAGTAAGAGTGAACTATAGAAATTCAAAATAAGCATTTGAAAAATTAAATAGGTTACCAATAAATTTCATTTCAACCTATAGCAGAATGCAAATGTGCAAATGGGAAATATACAGATATCCCCACACAAAATATTCTGATTGAACATTCCTTTGCACATCAATATTCTCCTTTGTATTCCATGTGCAGTGCTTTTATATTCAGTGATCCTCATGGAAGCACATAACATAGAAATCAATACCAGCTTGGCTGTGAATCTGTGTCCAATCCATAGTTCAACGATGCACTGTTAAGGCCCACACAAGGATAATGGCCAACAATCTTGGGAAAGGTACCAGAAGGCAGCTTGGGCCTATAGAACTGTATCTCAGGATAATTGCTATCAAGAGTAGATGTGTAGGCAAACAGCAGCCAATTTGGACACAGCATTGTCCCATATATAGCTATTAAGTCGATGACTAATTTATCTGGAGGATTGCTGGCCGAGAGAAACTTTCTCCTTGAATAGTGTCCACGTACATACAGAGGGCATTTCAGTTTAACATTTCATCCAATGGACCACGCACCTCTGACAATGTAGCCATCTTCCAAACCCATTCCTTAACTGGAGTCAGTGACATATACTGTCTAGATTTACAAAATAAGAAAGGCCTTACATTCCAAAATTAAAAGCAAGACACTTGGAAATGGTATGAAAGGTCTATCAGCACACAACACATACCATGAGTTCCCAGTTTCCCGTAGCTGAAGGGAACAGAGGTCTATATAGTAATTGGGAGAGTATAAGTCCTGACACGTGCTTGAACCCATACCTTCTGACCCAGAGCAAGAATGCTTCAAACTGAGCCAGGATGAAATCTTTAATACATCAGCAGAATCATCTGTCCAATCATCTTCTGTTCAGGTCAGTGCGCCCAGCACTTACATATATGATTAGTGAGCTTAAGTTTGAAGATATGCCAGCAGGAAAGCCATTACTGTAATCCTCAACTTCTATACCAGCAGACATACTCAAATCACGATCATTTGGGTTTTTTCTGCAGGCACTTAACTGAAACAAATGTAATATTATGGGAGTATTTGTGCCAAACACTCCAATCATGCATAGTAAATGTCCACCTAATCAAACCTGGAATTAGAAAATTAACCAGATGCTAAGAGCTGGATTTGTTAGAAGTTGCTGCTTCTGCTGCAATTTCCTTCAAATCCTGTAAGTCTTAAAACTTAGACAAGTCAATCAAGACTTCTACCTTCTATTCCAAAATAAATGTAGATTTTGACATCATTTACACAAATGTCATTTTCAGCAGAAATAAGAACATCTATAAATGAAAAATGCTGAGTCAGTTGAAAAAGTGCTTTTACTCTCGCTTACGATGTACAGCATATGCAATTGATCACAATCACAGGAGAAATAACTACAGGGTGATCGCATAACAGTATTATAAGTAAAATAGGAAACAGCATCACATAACAGTATTATAAGTGGAATAGGAAACAACAAAGCCACAGGACGAGGTAGTTTTAAGCACAGGGACACTTTTTTTCCCCTCATCGAATGGTGTGGCTTTGGTCCTTGGAGAACAAATTAATTCTTGGATAAATATGCAACATAATGTTCTTTGCCATCAGCATTTCTTTCACATTTGCTCTGCATAATAATGCTGGAAGGAATCTTTCATGCTTACAACTTTCATGCTTTTAGTTCTTAGGTTAGGGAAAAGTAGTAGAAATATTAAATGCACATTAGAAGCTGATAGTCCCATCACTTATGTATCTAATTACTACCAGGATATGCTAAATGGGCATCAAACATAAAACTAAATGCATGAAATATTTTATTTGAAACAGCTGTGTTACACATTACAATAAATCATATATGCATTTCACAGCCCAAAGAAATCCTAAGAAATCCTGAAACACTTTAAAGCTCCAATTAAAATCATTGTCATGTTTTAACATGATTTTGCTAAAAATGTACAAGTGGCTAGAATATGTCAGTGAAAGTATATACAAGTGCTAACTTTTTAAAAAAAAAACTTTTATAAGATTAAAAACGCTTTAAATTTCAAACAATGTTATAGATAACATGTGATTAAAGCTTCAATTGAGTTTTGTTTTATATATTTCAGCAGTAAAACAATCTAGGAATGACTTTTAACATAACATGGAGTCCTGTAGCTCAGTGGTTAGAGCACTCGCTTTGCAAGCGAGAGACCTGAGTGCAATTCCAGGCAGGGCGAAACCTTGGACAAGTTTCCTTACTCCACACGCCTAATAATCCCTCCAAAACCAAAAACAATAATACAAATTGGTCATTTTCAATCTACGACTGTTTGTGGGACATTGCTGTGCGCAATTGGCTGCCGCGTTCGCCCACAAATATAGTCAATTCACTTTACAGTGTGTTCTGTGAAGCACTTTGGGACGTCCTCCCGACGTGAAAAGCGCTATATCAAATGCAAGATTATTATTATGTAGGAGCAGGGGTAGGCCATTCGGCCCTTTGAGCCTGCCCCGCCATTCAATCATGGCTGATCTTCTAATCTAACACCAAATAATAAACTAACCCTGCCTTATCCCCATATCCCTTCATCCCCTTTGCAATAAGAAATCTATCTATCTCAGTCTTGAATATGTTCAAGGACATTTTAGACATTCTAGATCTAAGGTATTAAAAGTTTAGTCCAAAAATGTTATACATCATTTTCACACTGGCTTGGAGGGTAAATGCAGTAGAACTTCGAATATATCTGTTCCATCAAGGTCTGTGCTGGGTTATCTGGACTCACAAAACACATATGTAATATCAAACAGGCACCATTGTTAAGGAGAAGATAAATTCATGGAGAAGAAAAAGTCATTTTCTCCATGGCATGTGAAAGGTAGCAATATATAGTATGAAGTAAATAAAAATTAAGAAGCAGGTTTGAAGATATTAAAGTTTGAAATATAGGAGCAGTATTTAACCCTACCTTATCAAATGTGGGCAATGCCTCCACAGTTTAAATTAATCAATTATTTATAAATTATTAAGTTGTTTGACATACTACTTTAATGATAAACAAAAAATAGTGAAGCTTAGGAAGTGAACTATTCGTCCAAAGTTCCTGTCTCTAACTAAACTTCCTTTGAAGAGATAAGATAATAATAATCCTTGTATTTGATATAGCGCTTTTTACGTCGGGAGGACGTCCCAAAGCGCTTCACAGAACACACTGTAAAGTGAATTGACTGTATATTTGTGGGTGAACGCAGCAGCCAACTGCGCACAGCAATGTCCCACAAACAGTCATGGATTGAAAATTACCAATTTATTATTGTTTTTTTTGGTTTTGGAGGGATTATTATTAGGCTCTGTGTGAAGTAAGGAAACTTGCCCAAGGTTTCGCCCTGCCTGGAATTGAACTCAGGTCTCTCGCTTGCAAAGCAAGTGCTCTAACCACTGAGCTACAGGACTCCCCATTTCATAGAACACATATGTGAGGTCCCCATGGAGCTGAGCTGGCTCCAAGGTAATTTAATTGGCAACGGAATACTGAAATTGAGTTAACCATCCATGGAAGTCTCGTTAGTCCAGTTCCTGAGCCAGCAGTATCAAGTGGTTTGAGACGGCCTTTCAAGACAAAAGCCGCTATCTAAATGTAAACTGTATTGTAATACTTTTTGGGATGAGCAAAGCAGGTTGCATCCCTCTAGGAGGACCGTCAGTGCGAGCAGGTCTTCTCAATCTACACTCCATCTGGAGCTAATGTGCAAACGGGTGCATCCCAGAAAACCTCCAGTGACTCAAATAGAAATTAATTCATAAGAGTATTCTCAGAAAGAGTTCCAGCTATATCATCACACAGTACTACACATCATCAACTTTTCCTAGCTCAATAGCATCCAGAGCAGCGACCAGCCATGTCTGATGCTGAGGTTTGTACTGCTCATCACATCGTTTTCAATTACGTTGACATGTTTTCAAATGTCCTAGCAAAACAGGCTATCACTCGAGAAACCGACCCTTACCAGTATCTTAAGCCCTGAAATGGCGCACCCCTTTTCTACAAGTAGACAGCCTCCAGCATAAGATGGATCCAATTTAAAACTGGTGCTGCATTGGAACATTCATCTGGTTCACCACAAAAAAGTATTTAGGTCATACTGTAATTCTGATTTAGTTATACAATTAGTAAGAGATTAAATTAATTGATTGTGTAAAGTTTCAAATTTCCTAACAGGAAATTTTGCCAGTTTGCCATTTAGAAAATGTCCCTCCTCTTTCCAATTTTCATGCTAATTATTTTTAAATAACTGAAAAACCCAGGTAGATTGAAGAAAACAAATCCAATTAAGTTGACAGCAGTTATAATTCCCAACAACATAAAATCAAAACTGACATCACAGAATGAAGCTATTCTGCCCACCACAGTTGTGCACACATGCTCTCTGGAGAATTGTGAAGTCCCACTGGAGATTTTAACTCTAATCCCATTTCCTGCTCTTTCCTCTTACTGTTCAATATTAATCTCTCATGCATTTACCCAATTACCTTGTAGCTAACTACTTTAAGACTTCACGTCCAAAGCCATTTGTGGCAAGATAACAACAACTTGCATTGATAGGGCACTCTTTACACAGGGCAGTCTGAGCACTTAATGATTTGATACCAAGCCAAGGAAAGGGGGGGCAGGTGACCTAAGACACAGTTGAAGAGGAAGGTCTTCAGGTGTGTGATCTGAAGATCAGGAAGGAAGAAGTATTGTGGAAAGTTCCATAGTTTCGGGGTGTAGTGGCTGAAGACACGGCCGCTCATAGCACAATGGAGGGGGACAAGCGAAGTGCAGGAGGTGGATGCAGTTGGTAGTGACATCACATAACCCTCCAAATCTTTCAATCCCCTTTCTTCGTTCAGAAAAATACCCATTGAGGCTCACAGAATAAAAACTGTAAGCAAAGCATCACAACAGTTCGAAAAAGGCCCATATTTATAGAAAATTATATTTACTCCAATTGTCAGAAATCTATAAGTTCGTAAGCAATACACATAAGAAAGAGAAAAAAAAACCATGGGTAGTTATCTGGTAAGCATCGTAGCTAAGTGTACTTTGCGGATCTTTTAACACCGAAAATCAAAGCAGTTGAGAGCCATTCATTCACGTCCACATGTTAACGGGTCCGTTTTAGATACTTTTGTAAACCTAAATGTTTATTGACAAACGGAAACCCCTATAAACCACAACAAAGCAGAGGATTTTTTTTCATTATTTGTTATTTCTGGAACTCGCTAATCGTTCCCCTCCCCAACCCGCCCCTCCAGGATTCAAACTAAAACGAATTTCACACGCGAATCGGGGGCAAAGAACGGGATGGGATTCGGGTCCAAAAGGACTTGCCCCCCGATTAATTGGGAGGGAGAGAGAGAGAGAGAGGGAGGGGGGGAAACAGTGCTGCTGCACTGAGGCTATAAAACCCTTTTTTAAAAAAAATTTAATATTTAATTTTTTTTAAAAAAGGAGCCATTTGTGGTTTTCCCTCCGGACCCCTAAAGCCGTTCTCTCCTTTGCACGGAGTGGAAATGGGTGGAGGAAGGAGCCCGTCGGCGCCGCCATTACCTGGCCGGCCTGGGGGAGGGAGCTGCAGTGGTTGGCGCTGTGGACGCGGCCTCTCCCGCTCCCCGCCGCCGCCGCCATGTTGTGCTGCTCTCTCTCTCTCTCTTTTTTTGTTGTTCTCGCCGCGGGACGGACGCCCGACTCGCGTTGGGGCCGCCGTCGTCCACCGCGAGCGGCCCTGCGCCCGGGACAGCGGCTTCGACGCGAAGCAGCACTGGCGCCGGGCGGCAAGTGAGCAGTCGGGCGGGTGGTTAACGGACGGACGAGCGGATGAGCCGTTTGTAAAATGAACGCGCTTATCCGGGAGGGGAGGGAAGGAGGGAGGAGAGGGCAGAGAGAGAGTGAGGGAGGGAGGGAGGGAGGAGGCGCGCGCTGCCGAGGCCTCAAACCGGCCTTGTGACCGCTCGTCATTCCCTTACACCCGAGGCGGCCCGACCCGACCCCGCCGCCCCGGCCCCGCCGCCCCGGCCCCTCCGTGCAACTTAACAGGTGAAAAACAAACGGCCGCCGCGGCCTGAGTGACTAAGAGGAAAAGGAGGCGGCAGCGAAGCGCAAGGTCCCGACTTTCCGCCCGTTCTCCCCAGAGCTCGATTCCCCCTCTCGCTCGCTCGCTCGCTGCCCGGCCCGGCCCCCGCCGGTGGCCGTTACCTGGTTAAACTCCTCGCCGACATCGGCGTAGATGTCGATGTGATCCACGCCGTCAGCCATGTCGCCGCCCGCACTGCGCTCGAGCGGGCGTTTGAAGCCTCCGCGCTTCACTTCCGGCGAGAGCGCCGCTCACAGGCCGCGGCGGGAACTGCACCACACACTCCATACACAACAACAGGGCCTGACTCTCCCCCACCAACACACACAGAGACCCCCCCCCAACACTCACCAGCTCACAGCGACCCCCCCCCAACATTCACCAGCTCACAGCGACCCCCCCCCAACACTCACCAACTCACAGAGACCCCCCCCCAACACTCACCAGCTCACAGAGACCCCCCCCCAACACTCACCAGCTCACAGAGACCCCCCCCCAACACTCACCAGCTCACAGAGACCCCCCCAACACTCACCAGCTCACAGCGACCACCCCAACACTCACCAGCTCACAGAGACCCCCCCCCAACACTCACCAGCTCACAGCGACCCCCCCAACACTCACCAGCTCACAGAGACCCCCCCCCAACACTCACCAGCTCACAGAGACCCCCCCCAACACTCACCAGCTCACAGAGACCACCCCAACACTCACCAGCTCACAGAGACCCCCCAACACTCACCAGCTCACAGAGACCACCCCAACACTCACCAGCTCACAGAGACCCCCCCAACACTCACCAGCTCACAGAGACCCCCCCCCAACACTCACCAGCTCACAGCGACCCCCCCCAACACTCACCAGCTCACAGCGACCCCCCCCCCAACACTCACCAGCTCACAGAGACCTCACTCCCCCAACACTCACCAGCTCACAGAGACCCCCCCAACACTCACCAGCTCACAGAGACCCCCCCAACACTCACCAGCTCACAGCGACCACCCCAACACTCACCAGCTCACAGAGACCCCCCCAACACTCACCAGCTCACAGAGACCACCCCAACACTCACCAGCTCACAGAGACCCCCCCAACACTCACCAGCTCACAGAGACCACCCCAACACTCACCAGCTCACAGAGACCCCCCCAACACTCACCAGCTCACAGAGACCCCCCCCAACACTCACCAGCTCACAGCGACCCCCCCAACACTCACCAGCTCACAGCGACCCCCCCCAACACTCACCAGCTCACAGAGACCTCACTCCCCCCAACACTCACCAGCTCACAGAGACCCCCCCCCAACACTCACCAGCTCACAGAGACCTCACTCCCCCCCCAACACTCACCAGCTCACAGCGACCCCCCCCCAACACTCACCAGCTCACAGCGACCCCCCCCCCCCAACACTCACCAGCTCACAGAGACCTCACTCCCCCCAACACTCACCAGCTCACAGAGACCTTACTCCCCCCCCAACACTCACCAGCTCACAGAGACCTCACTCCCCCCCCCCCCCAACACTCACCAGCTCACAGAGACCTCACTCCCCCCAACACTCACCAGCTCACAGAGACCTCACTCCCCCAACACTCACCAGCTCACAGAGACCTCACTCCCCCCAACACTCACCAGCTCACAGAGACCTCACTCCCCCCCCCCCCCAACACTCACCAGCTCACAGAGACCTCACTCCCCCCAACACTCACCAGCTCACAGAGACCTCACTCCCCCCAACACTCACCAGCTCACAGAGACCCCCCCCAACACTCACCAGCTCACAGAGACCTCACTCCCCCCCCCCCCCAACACTCACCAGCTCACAGAGACCTCACTCCCCCCCCCCAACACTCACCAGCTCACAGAGACCTCACTCCCCACCCCCCAACACTCACCAGCTCACAGAGACCTCACTCCCCCCCCCCCCCAACACTCACCAGCTCACAGAGACCTGAGAAGCTCCTCAGTTGAGGAGATGGTCAGACTTGGCTGTGAAGCTCACCTGACATGGAGACATAGTGCGCTAGTGTCCAGGCATTATTTCTCAAATGTAAACGTTACAAAAAAATCCATGCACAGATATTACATTTTTATTTATCTACCTCCCAGTCTGGTTTCTGTAGAGTATGTTTCTGTCCAGTTTCTTTTCTGATTCTCTCTTCACACAGCTTAAAACAAGTCTGAGTGACAAATGGCATGTACTGTATCTCTTTCCACTCCTTGTCTTCACTCATTGTGCTCTGATAAGTAAAGCAATTATATTACTTGTGAACATAAAATAACAATCCATGTTTTTCTCAACAGATTTATATTTCGGGAGACTCACTGGCCAGAATAAACACTAACTGGTTGACGGAAATCAAATGAGGAGTTGCTGGAAGATGCAAAGCTGTAGGATAAAACTTTTATTTTAGGAAGCAGTTACTTACCTTTCATGGATAGATGTTACTCTTCCTGATCTAAGTATTATTGGTCGAGAAACAACACCATGGTATCATTGATTTTCAGAGTCCAGGCCACCTCTGAAACAGATTCCTTTGTCACATGTGATCATTGGATCCGAGCTTGAAAGAAAAACTTTGCATTTTTATAGCACCTTGTCACATTGAAAAGTCTTAAAGTGCTCCAAGAGTAATTATTAACAACTGCAGTGACTGTTTTTATAAGAAAACTAGCCGTACCTGTTGTAACTACGCTTGCAACCGGTTTCATGTAATCATCCTTCTCTCTTTCATCTGCCATTTTTATTTGTTCTTGAAAGGGTTGATCTTCGCTTCTTACACATCTTTATCCCTTAAGATTAAGAAAATATGCTATTGAACTCATTAGCATCCCTTGTTCACATATGTGCACACATATCCTTTTAGGAGGGCTCCTGTTGGGAGGATTCAGTAGGAGGAATCCTGACACACAGACAGACATTTTGTCTTTATTAGTATAGATAGATGTATCTCTCTGGAAGGGGGTGTGATCTCTGTCACTACTTTGTTGCAGAATACCTTTTTGGGGCTTAATTAAAGCAGTTTTTAATATAGCTCATCAATGATAGGAGATCCCCACCCCCCCCAAATAAATATGACCATGACGCTCCCGCATGCAAGAACGTGTCAATTGGTTCTTGCGTTCTTGGCAGACAGTCAGACATTTCATCTTTACTCATATAGAAGATAGATGTCGCACGTGCTGGGTCATAGGGTTGAGACATTGGATAGAACCGGGGTGTTCATTGATAGGTTTATTAAGCTAGAAGAGCCAATGTGAGGGTATACAATTGTTGTATAATTATTATACAATACACTATTGTTACACTACCCAACAAAGGATGAGCTGATACAATAACCTCAGGGAGCCTTTGAAAATCTTTCATGGATGACAAATTCACTCTTGAATTGCAGAAATCATTTAGGAATTGAATGTTATCTATATTTGTTTCCCATTACAGTAGCAAGCTGTTTTCAATCCAAAGTCCTGGCCTCTACCACCCTTTCTGGTAATCCATGCAGTTACTGATTACCCTCTGAAGTGTTAACAGACAGCGGGCTAAACAGAATCTTTCAAATAACCTTTGAGGTCAAAGAGGAGTGCTTACCAAAGGAAAATTTAATTAATTTTAAATGACTTGCCTTGCTCAAACAATGCCAATGTGTAGTTTTTTCCTAGATGAGAGCAGAAATGTTTTCCAGTAAATACATGTGTTTATGGATCCACCAAGTTGAACCAGTGAAGATTTATTCGGGTATTGTACGTTAAGTCTATTTTTGGACAGCTTCCATTTGTTGAGCAGATTTATATCATCTTCCCTTAGCCTCATCCTCAGGTTTAAAACAGGGTCAGTTGGTAGATAATAATAATTATTATATATAAAATAATATATACTATATAGTAATATTAATTCTTATTATAGATGCACTATCAAGTGTGAAATGGGTCCCAGCTGGAATCCCTGATATATGCTGAGTTATCTGATCAAAGACAAGGTGATAGAACTACAATTACTGCCAGAATTCATCAGCAGGGAAGGAACACATCAACCAGGGATCCCACTCATGATTGTTATCCGGTGAAAAAATGCCTACGTATAGACATTTGATGAATACAGGATTGCACTGGTGCTGATGTCTGTTAATAGTCAGGTTGCCTGTTAACACTCATTGTTAAGTTCGCACATATGGATTACCTTGGGAAGATAGAAAAATTGCGAACTATATTTTATAGTGATTGTGGGGAGAATCCTTCATTCCTTATCATAATCTCACCCAGATTCAGAGTTGCATTAGCAGAGGGCCTGAAGCAGTTCCCTTGTCTATTCTCTATGGTGGGAATGGTGCATAACAACAGTAGCAAATAAAACAGGAAAACATTTCTTAAAAGGGTGACCACTAGGCGGTGCATTTTTCTTAAAAGGGAAGCAGCCTTCCAAAATACTTAGGCCTAAGTTGGATAAACTGCAGCAATTCTCTTTCATTGAAAAAAATCTTCTCGTTATGAGGATTACGAAAGTTATGTTTAAAATCTGATTGCCCCAACCTAATTGTTTGGGCAAAATCTCTTTACACATCACCCAAACAAAATCGGAGGAAAATTGTATACAATATTTTGTTTGCAGTGTAAATGTTCATCCAGTCATAACTTCTCTTTCAAACGTTCAACAAAAGCTAATACAGAAGAACGACATGACATGTTTTGCAAACTTTTTTTTAAATGGGATTACACAGTGGCTACACTAACAGGCTATTTACTACTTCTACCACAAAGGAGCAATCATAATAAGAAGGTGCAGTAATAAAATATATACAAATAATGTATAAAAATAATATAAATACAGTATGTACACTATCTCATCAACAAATTATGTTCCCGCTTTTTTTTGTCTCGCCAATTGTCTCCTTTCCAGAAGGCATTTGACTCCTATTTTTCCACTGGGCTCTGGCTCCATTATTAGCTTAGTTAAGTTTCCATTATTCTTATCCACTAGTATAATAATTCTCTACCAGTTGTGTCTTGATTCAACCACAACCCCCCCCCCCCCCACCGCCCACCCACACCCAACAAAGCTCTCTCCAAACAGTATTATAGTTTATCAATTAGTTTTGCTTCCACCTAGCTACAATTGTGTAATTGCAAAATATTCTGGTTGAAGTAATTTTTATGAATGACGCTCAAGAAACAATAACATTCATATTGGTTACTTAAAACCTTGATATACAAAATATCCTATTTAAAAAGAGAGGGGAGTTTCCCCTGGGGTACTCGCCACCAAACCCCCAAACTCGCTTTATGGCCGTTTGTGGGATATTGCTGTACATAAATTGGCCGCAG